TCAGAGGCTGCATCCGAGTGTTTGTTAAATGAGGTGATCTAGCTTACGACCGACTTCTTGCTTACGTCCTCATAGTGCCACTTCTGTTGAGTAGAAACCTGGACTGTTCTCCAGATAAGAAGACGTTGGAAGTTTTGCAAAAAATTTGGCATGAGATGGAACCCGAAATTTAGAATATGTTTAATTTTATTTCATGTACTTGAAGAACTTAAGGTGCTTAAATGACCGGCTGAATCTTCTTTTACAGTCCGGGGAAGAAGCCTTTCAGTTGTCATCTTACTTAACCCTTTCAACACTAAGTAACTTTGGCTTTAATTACTAGGACTATCAAATGCTGCTGCTGACGGGTAGTGGCGCTCACGCTCGCGAATAGAAGACAACGGTAGTGAAACTCCATCGGCGCTTGTTGTTAAATATTTTCCCGTTACGTACCCTTGAAAACAGCATATCGGCCCAATTTGCAGCGAAATTTTTTCAGGCAGCAGCGTAACGTGTTGTCGCTCTGTTATGACGCTGGCGAGGACCCTATATGCAATAATAAGAATAATAATAATAATTATTATTATTATTATTACTGCTATTTGCAGAATTTATTTCATGACTGAATTGCTTGTTCGCGCCCACTCTTAGACAATCAAAATGCAACAGAAAGTCACCATATACCGGAGTCTGCTGTACCGGTCTGCAGGGTAGATGGGATCAAAGTGGCAGACCGGTAAAGCAGTTTGCAGGGTTGAACGGGGTGAAAGCCGCAGACCGGTAAAGCGGGCTATAGTGTTGAAAGGGCTAACAAGTCATTTTGATCCTTAACATAACAAACTTGTTACTTGTGTATAAGATTACCTCAAATTTTCAAATGTCATTCTGACTTTAGCTGTAACATAAGGGTTATATATGAATTTAGAACTAATGAGCCAAGGACAAAAATTATAACTTCACTATAGACTTTATTACCTCCACCAAGGAGGTTAGCCAGCATTTATCTGTTTGTTGGTTTGTTTGTTAGTCAGATAACTCGAAAAGATATGAACAGATTTTCAGGAAATTTTCAGGAAATGTTGGTAATGGCACAATGAACAGATGACTACATTTTGGTGATGTTCTGGCTTGCCATCTGGTTATTTTCTCATAAAACAGTAAATGCTGTTAAGTGTCGGAGTCCAGCAGAATGCTGTCCTTGTGAAGTTTGTCCACTACATGGAGCTCTGACTCCATTCAGTCCTTCAGTCCTCACCGCTGTCTTCTCAGTAGTACAGGAGTCAGCTACAGCCAGGCTACATTACAGGAGTGGGCTGAGCGGCGCTACTAACTAATAAGTTCATAACGAAGTTGTGACATCAACAATGACTCTACATGTCTCCTGTTTCACTTTAACTCTCTTTGCCATGTGTCATGACAAGTGACTCGTGCTTCGTTGCGTCAGTCATGCTTTTCATTTACGTTGCATTGCTAAAGTTGTGCTAGTCCAGCTTAAGTTAATGTAGTTATAGGCTGCAAGGTGGCTTGGTGGTTAGCACCAGAGACGTCTGCAGAGAGAACAAACACAGGACCTTATACTTTTCAATATAATGTGCACAGGATGTGTTGTTTGCAGCCCTTATACTTAAACTCCTTCTTGCAAACTATTCCCAGCAACTGTATTTTTAAAACTATTAAACTATCACTATCATTAGTTGGAGCCAAATTATACAATTCACAACAAAAACAAAATATTTGCTGTACAGTTTGTAGAGTTTTTCACCTGAGCCAGTGTATTCAGTCTCAGTGTGTGTCCTCTCTGCACACAGATGAAGTGTGTAACTGAAACACTGCAGGTTGTGTTGTGTTGTAAGTGAAGCTTCAAACTGGCTGCAAGTAGCAGCTCTCTTATTTGCGTCTGCTCATGGCGGACACTGATGATCTGATTTTTGTGACTGGACGCTGGTTGCAGGTCGAGGCAGCTTACAGCTCCCTGTTTCTGTCTCTCTGTCTGTCCGTCTCCCTCATTGTTATCCTGAGCTTAAAGCAGGCTCGTGGTTGGGGAAGCCGCATTAGCAATGCAAGGAGCTGTACAAGCCTTGATGGTTACGTAAACCCTCCCTCCCCCCAACACACATACAAACAAGCCCTTAAGCCTCTCTGGTCCGTAGCGGCACACGCTAGCAAGTGTCTCTCACCCGCTTATCGTTACATCATTACTATACAGGCCTGCTTTCCGTTTGCGGCAGCCTCGGAGCAAGCTATACTGTCAGATCATGGAAATACGCAGCAAAGTCCTGCCAGCAATGTGTAGCTTAGGCAGTGACTACTACAGCTGAAAAGTCTCTTTGTCAGTGGGTCATATAATGAATATCTGTGAACATTTAGAATTACAACCAACAATCTGATGGAAAAAAAATTATGAAAAAACAATGTTGGATCAAGAACAAGAATGTTGATAGTTTAATAATGAAGAAAATACAGAAAGTAATCACTGTCCTGCCTCTTATTATCGGAAGTCCTTAATATTGGTCAGCAGTCCAAAAAGTATCCAAGACTCTCAGATTTTAAATGTACAAATCCTGAAGTAAATTCAAATTTGGCAAGAAAAGCCTACCATTTATTTTTAAAATGTGAGAAATGTCTTGATTCCTACACCTCTGGGGATCATTGTCTCTCCCCAGTAGTCAGAAAGTGTGATGACATGTCTTTCTAGTTGTCTTTTTAAATCACACCGTCATGAAGACTCTGAGTGGAAACACGTTGGTTTATCATGTTCAGCTTATGGTGGCATCCAGGAGTGGCTCAGGACAAAACAGGGGAACATTACCACACTGGGATATTTCCTACAGCACAATTTTATTTGTTCATTTTTGATTTTAAAACACAAAATAATATCACATGCAAAGCTCCTTACTACCTGGAAGTAACACTTTAGCTTGTAGCTATGATAACGGTTTCTTTAAAGAAGACCAACACATGCTTTTAACTTTTGTTCTTGTATCTTGTAACGTACTCCAAAAATATCCCATGTACACAAATTTAGCATGTAAAGAAACTCAAATGTTGCTGTCTGTCAAAGCTTGTGAAGGATGATAAGCTGTATGGATTCAGCAAATAAATTAAGCGAAATGCACAAAAATGTCTTTACGCCGCTACTGGGTGGATGCTTGAGTCCGTTCTTCTTCATACATCTGTCATATTCATGAATAAATCACTAAATTAACACGGTACTGACAGTGTGGTATCGTGGTTGCAATTTCAAGACGTGAAGAAATATTCATGCGCAAACACATGAAAACCAAAAGTCTGCATGTTCAGTAGATTTACACGTGCATTCATGTACCTGCTGAATTATGTACAAGCTGATTCTAATGTCCCAGTGACCCTGCGCAGGATAAAGAAGATACATGTATAGTATGTATGATTAAAAAGAATCCTGTCCCTGGTGAACCTAAATATTATAGCAGTAACATAAATAATTTGTTTTTTTTCTTTAAAACAATACACGGGATGTTCTTCAGTCACAGCTGGTTTTGTTGGGCTCCAGAATAAAATAATAACATGGAGACATAACAGCAATTTTGCATCTTCAGATTATGTCTAATATTTGCGACTGACGGCAAATTCATTCTGCTCTAGTTCGTCTGTAAGCTGCTTCACAACGCAGGGTCTCAGACAAACTCCTTTTTCGGCCTTTTAGGTCAAACAGTCCTGCTTACAAACAGTGCATGTTGGGGTGGCTGATCACATCGGCTACCGTTCCATCACCAATAATTTTACAAATTGCAAAGCACAGGAAGTTGCACAATAAGTTTGCAAACATATCAGCCATACAGTGGGAACTTAACAAACTGATATTGTTTCACTGTGGTTTTTACTGTAAATGCTCCAAATAATTTATTAATGCAGGTTCAAGCGCCTCGTGTTAAAGATAAATCAGCCAAGCTGCTGAGACAGAGCTCTTCTCATATTACTGTACACACTGTATTTTATATCAACGTATTTAAAATGTATGACTGTTAAATAAAACATGATAAATGAAGTGGTACTTAAATATAGTTTTAATATTTGAATAGTCAGTGACAGTGCTTTCTGAGCTTTAGGAAAACATATATGCACTGAACCTGGCTTTGAAATGGATAGAAGTCAATGTAATCCCCTGATTACCACCTCTGGTCATGAGATAGCAGGGCTGTTATTTGTCTGTGTGCTGTTTTAGTGCTTCTAGACTGAGCTTGGGAGGAAGAACTCTGACACAAGGAAGCTGGATGTGGAAATATGAGCAGTGTTGAGACAGTCTATAGGAGTCTATAGGGCTGCAGCTAACACAGTTCATGTTCGTTGTATGCTCACCCAAATCCAAAAGTTGGTCACTGCTGGTATCCTGCAGTCTATGGACTGCACTTATATAGAGCTTTTCTATCTTAGTGGCACTCAGTATATGAAACAATACATTCTTACCTTTGAGAAGGTGGAACCAGAGATGTACTTTTAAAAAATGACTGTAAATGCTGTTATCCTTTTGTAAGTGTACCCGGGGTTGTGCAGAGAGCCAGTACTCAACGCAAGGTTAGTTAAGTCACCTGTCAACAAAAATATACACCCATATATGATGAAATAGAAAAGTCTCTGGGATTTTCAGGGATAGTGTCTGATATGTCTGGAGAACTAGACTTAACAACACAAGGGGAAGGTTTTCTGGCTTCCTTGCAGTCCAGTCATGTGTCAGTTTGCTTCGTTCTTCGATGCTTCGTCCACCAGATCTGGAACATCATCCTCCTCTTAAACCAACAGTGTATTGCACAGTATTGATCACTGATCTATGCAACTTCAGTGTAGGCATCACTTAAGATTTAGACACAAGTAAAAGTGTAACAGCCTCCATTCCAAAAAATAATATAGTGAATGAGAGACAGCATTCATCTTTCTACATGCAGGCGATTAAGAAACCTTACAACCTGTCAACATCTTTTACCCTATAGCTGTGAGTCCTTTTACAGAGCTTTCTGATAACATTGTGTCTGTTTTCTCTCACACAGCATTACTTCTTGGTCATTTTTGGCCACGATGGACAGAAACCTTTGGAACTGCGGACAGAAGAAGAGCCGGACTGCAACGAGTGGGTGGAGTGCATCCAGCAGGCCAGGTATGAAAATTAAGATGACGTTAATGTTTATTTTGCAGTATTGATTAAAAAAATGAATATTTTGACCTCCTGTGCTTGATTTAGAAAGTGTTTTCGTCCATGTTACTTGTTACTTCTGCTCCACTACATTTGAAATATCATTCAATGTACAGTTTCTACTCATGAAGTAACTTTTCATTAATTAAAAATTCAGGGAATACTTGACTGAACTGCAGGCTGTGTTTCTTCAGACCAGAGAAGACACAACAGAAGAGACAAAGAGGGAAATAAATAAATGTAGCATGGCTCACAGCCAGTATACAAGTTGTTCTAAGATACATTCAGCATGGTGACACATCATTCGAGAGTGATGTGCAGAGTCGTGTGAAAAAAGTTTGGAAAAGTTGTTAAAATGTAAACAGTTAAATATCTTTAGTATGTGGATATGTTCAATATTGGCAACATCTGTGGGCACTTTATGATTTATGGCATTATAACTATATAATGACACACAGAGGACATTTCTGAGTTCTCTGTACATCCAGCCATGATTGTGCTAATTCCTTTGAGTTGCAAGTCTTTATACTGCTCTATAAAATGAGCCCATGTGTGACAGGAGCAAAGAAATGCCCAGAAGACTACTTGGGGTTCAGAAGGTTAGAGTGGCTGTTAAATAACTTGCCAGAGACTCAAATTGTTCTCTACTTTCTGCTGTTTCTTTGTGCTGATGCACACTTGATACAACTACCACGTGTTATTCCATATTTGTTTAACATCTCTCTTTCTGTGTGTGTGTGCATGTGTGTGTGCGTGTGTGTGCTTTCTGCTCGCAGCGGTTCACATTTAGGTCACACTGGTGCTGTATTGCTACACTGGTTACATCACAGACTTGATCTCGCCACTCGACCTCTATTTCTCTCTGCTCTGCCTCTCTGTGACTGTCTCTCCTATTTTTAACGTGGAACTCAGTAAAATGAAGCCCACCTGTGTGTTTGTGCACAATGACACGTCACTTCAGGAGCTCATAATGTCCGACTGCTGCCTTTCAAAGTCACTTCAGCTTGTAATTGTCACATACCTGCTCATGTTAGATTATCACCCACTTGTCCTTTTCCCATTCTCCGTTTAGCTACTCTGACATCATCATCGAGCGTGAGATCCTGATGCAGAAGTATATCCACCTGGTCCAGATCATGGAGACTGAGAAGGTCGCAGCCAATCAGCTTCGCACTCAGCTGGAGGACCAGGACACAGAGATCGAGCGGCTTAAAGCCGAGGTATGCATGAATGCATCCACATCTGCGTGCACATGCATACATAAATACACGCACATGCTTGAGCAGAAACACACACACACACACACACACACACATACACAGAATATGTAGATCAAAGCGTGCAAATGTATCTGGCATGACAAGATCCATTACTTCCTTCTCATGCAAGAGATATTTGGTTTTTTTTGAAGCTCTAAAGTGGTGCCATAAATATTTTATCCTCTGTGCCAGTATATTCACATGCAGACTGTTGTTTTAGATTGTAGTGCTGAATAAAACCAAGGAGAGGATGCTGCCTTACCAGAACAACCAAGAGGAAGAAGACCCAGATATTAAAAAGATCAAAAAGGTAAACAGTCATAATCACAGAATAAAGAGTGAATGAAGCAAAATAGGAAGAATAAAGGGAGACACCTAATGTGCTGTGGCCGTGCAGGTGCAGAGTTTCATGCGTGGCTGGCTCTGCCGGAGGAAGTGGAAGATCATCGTCCAGGACTACATCTGCTCCCCTCATGCCGAGAGCATGAGGAAGAGGAACCAGATTGTGTTCAACATGGTGGAGGCCGAGACGGAGTACGTCCACCAGCTCTCTATCCTGGTCAACTGTTTCCTCCGGCCGCTTCGCATGGCAGCCAGCTCCAAGAAGCCTCCGATCAGCCACGACGATGTCAGCAGCATCTTCCTCAACAGGTGCAAATATCAGCTTGTCATGCAAATATTTTCGCTTCCAGTTTAGAATCACAAGGGCTGTCACATGTTCAAACAAATTCAAACTCCCTCAGTCCTTATAAAATGAAGCCAATGCAGAATCCCCACAAACTGCAGTTTCTTACAGGTTTGCCCAAAAGCAAGTAAATCCCTGTAGATCCCTGTGATAAAACCAACTTTAAAGTAGAAATTAGCAAGTTTACTATCTGGTACAAATGACGGTTTCTCCATTGCTAATTTCCACAATTCATGACAACTGTTCAGGTCCCATTAAATGTCCCATATTGTGCCCCTTTCAGCAAATCAGTGCAAGTCTCACATATCCCTACAGTGTGTCTTTTAATTTTTGAGTTTAAAATATTATAAAGATGGTTCATTTTTCATGACTGTGTAACCACTGGCTTTGGGACTGTGAAAACCAATGAGCTGCTTTTTTCCCTGCCCCCTCCAGGAAGAAAACTCTCTCTGTGTCTGTGTATAACAGTGTGTAACAAACAGCTGACAGCACAGCTGCTGACACAGGGAGAATGTAACTTTCCATTAGGGTTTGTCACATGCTGTTCAAGGTTCACATTAATGCTCCATACCTGAGTGTTCTTATGTCGTCACCAATGTGCCAAATAGCGTTGACATAGTTCCTCTGAGTTACTCTACAATGCAGTACTACTTCATGTTTCTAATTGTTTTTTAATGCTTCCGTCAAACCAAATTTCTGGTAATCATTCACTTTCACTGGGACACCAGAGTGAGCCTTCATGATTTTGTTACAGCTAACTGGATGTGCACCACACCTGAGTATACATCTCCCAAACAGACCATTGTACTGGGCAACTGAAGAGCTCATTAAATTTTGATCCAGTGCACATTTGTTGATACTTGGAGACAGACTCGACAGTGCATAGCATTTTATGAGCCTATCTTCTTTTATCTTTACACCAGCGGCCATAACATAAATCTGTAGGGTTGTTAGACTGTCCAAGAGAGGCGGCCATTTTGCAGCTCTGTAGGCTAAACTGATGAATGACCTAATGACCTAATGACTAATGACCTCACTCTGCTGAACCTCTCGGCAAACTACTAAAATATCTGCCAACAGGTGGTTTCACTTCTGATATTTGATATTTTCTTACATGACGTTCAAGTTTCTAATAAAAAGTTAGTTAGACTACTAACCTCATTCAGAGTGAACTGACACAGGTTCTCTCCCCTCAGTGAGACCATCATGTTTCTGCATGAGATCTTCCACCAAGGTCTAAAGGCTCGCATTGCTAACTGGCCCACTCTGGTTCTGGGTGAGTATTGCGGAGTTCACGTGACTTACATTAATGAAAACCAAGATTCTGTTTTTAGCTTCTCACAACGTAACAATCTGCTGCTTTTCATCATAATATGCGACAGTTGATAAATCTGAATGTTGGACTGATGGACAGACAAATTAAGGAGGCGTGCATTAGTGCTTTTTACTGCTTTTTGACATTTCACAGACAGAATGAAGAACCATGTAACTCAAAATTTAATTAGAAGACTAATAGATGAGACAAAAAAACCTATCATCTTTACACATTTGAGATATTTCCACTTAAATATTTTTGGGTGAAATTTTTTTATATGACACAGAAAAAGTCCTACACACTTTGAGCACCTTTGTTAATGTCCATGATCAAAAACCAACATACTTTTTGGCACTTTCAATGGTGACTGTGCAAAAATGTAAGTTTTTCTTTTGATTTCAAAGCCATGACTTTCCTAAAGGAAGCAAATCTGTGTAAAAGCCACCCTTAGCTTTATTGTTGTCTGCATTATTCTGATGCTCTTTATCTCAAGCTGCATGCTGATAAGTTTTGTTTTCTTTTCCTCACCCAGCGGACCTGTTTGACATTCTGCTGCCCATGCTGAACATCTACCAGGAGTTTGTGCGAAACCACCAATACAGTCTGCAGGTGCTGGCAAACTGTAAGCAGAACAGAGACTTCGACAAGCTGCTCAAACAGTACGAGTCCAACGCTGCTTGTGAGGGCCGCATGTTGGAGACGTTCCTCACTTATCCCATGTTCCAGGTACTGAACACCTACAGAATCAAACACTGATGCTCAGACAGGAACTACTCTTCCTGGAGAAATATGTTTACTATACTTGAATAAATGGCACAGACTGGCTCAGTGAGGCCTCACATGGATTGTGTGTATCTGTTTATATGTTATATTGATATTTTAGATCCCACGATACATCATCACTCTTCACGAGCTGCTGGCGCACACACCTCATGAACATGTGGAGCGCAAGAGTCTGGAGTTTGCCAAATCAAAACTGGAGGAGCTGTCAAAGTGAGTGAGCGCATCAGTTTTATGATACGTACAGATAAATAATGATGCTGTTGGTAATAATGCGTGTGTTCACATCACGTATTTGAGTCTACCAGTTATTACTGAAGTCTGTTTGTGCAGGTGGCTGTGGTGTTTCAAAACAGAAACTTGCACTTTTGAAAGATAATCCTAGAACTAGTTAAGGAGTGGAGTTAAATTAACAACCAATTTCTCCAACACAAAACTGTATCTGATTTAAATTTGGCCGCCATCCCTGTCACTGTAGTCTCCTTCCACTAGGATACACTGCACCCAGTGCTCCTGCAACGCTCAGAGTGCTCCCTGGAAGCATGGAATTATATTTGCGCCACAATCCTGAGTGCGTAAAGGGAAATTTTGAGCACAGACAACAATCTTGAGCAAACAAAAACTTAATCTGAGCAAATGAATATATATTCTGCGCTCAAAACTATTACTGCTGTGTTTGCAACAATCAACATACACGCATGGTTTTGTCAGTGAAGCTCTCACAGATCTCCATTCTGTGTGCTCAACTACACATTCACGCTCGCTTGTAAATTACTTAAGGCTTCAATTTATGATGTATGTTATCCAGCATGTCTGTCCCATCTGTGAAGTTGTTGTCAGTAATTTTATAAGTTCCTCTTTGTTTGACAGTCAGGCTTTTGATGGTATCTCGTGTTAAAGCTCAACCATATTTTAAATCTATGAAACTATATATTGTGATGGCTCAAATCTAAACAAGGATTCATCCAGATTTCTGAAATGCACATGATGTTTACCTGTAAAACCAGGTTATCTGAAGAAGTTTATCATACCTGAAGATACTTCTTGTCTTCTGTGTGAACTCACTGTCTGATGTTTGCTCGTGTTGTCAGGATGATGCACGATGAAGTGAGCGACACAGAGAATATCAGGAAGAACCTGGCCATCGAGCGGATGATCGTGGAGGGCTGCGACATCCTTTTAGACACGAGTCAGACCTTTGTCAGACAAGGTGAGCTCCTGTCTCTGTTTCCCAACCACCATCACTTGGTGTTAGTTCTCCTTCACTTCTGACTCTCTCTCTCTGTGGACAGGCTCTCTCATCCAGCTGCCATCCAGCAGCGAACGGGGCATGCTCAGTAAGGTCCGCCTGGGCTCCCTGTCCCTGAGGAAGGAAGGCGAGCGACAGTGTTTCTTGTTTACCAAACACTTCCTCATCTGTACCCGAACATCTGGAGGGAAGCTTCACTTACTCAAGGTCAGCTTCACCTGTCCGCATATAATATACATTTTTCTATTTAGCCTTAATAGTCCCTTAGAAGTTTGAAACCTCTTCATTAAAGGAGACGTGTGATCTGTTTGGAACATCCATCCGCTCATTATATTGTCCACTATGGAGTGAATCAGCCATTTTATTGTTCTGCTTAAATTCTGAACTGTAAATTTCACCCACCACGGTGTGCACTCTAGAATTTTTTGAGAACACCAAGATGTATGCAACAGAAGCTCATTGATTTAGACCATCATGCTTTGCAGCCTCTCTCGCTCTACTGTCAGAAGAAGAAGGTTGGGTAAAGTGATTTTGTTACCTCCTGAGAATGCTGGCAGGCATGACACTCCTCAGATGTCTCAAACGTGCAGGGACTTGTCCTCTCCTTCCTGAGCAGCAGGATTTCAAACATTATTAAAAACACCAAATGGAACCATATTTGAGACTTAAATTCCTCTGTCTAACTTGTAAATATGTTAGCGGAGCATTGATAAAGAGCAACTTACAGTGTGTAGTGACTCCAGTAGATGGGTTGGACAATGAAGCTGAAGAAGAAGCTGTGTACACAAACACAGTCACACACCCCGACACACACACTACAATTAACAACATGTAGAGTCATTTTTGTCACAGAGTTTTATGTAACTTAGTTGTGATATCACAAAAGAAAAAGCAGCCAAATTTAATCGAGTTTAACTATAAAAAATATGGATCCTATCTAGATTCAACTCCAATAAAGCTGAGAATGTACATTCATACACACAGCTTTGTAAAGAGAAGCTTGCTGGGTAGGAACAGACGAGGATCAGGAGAACTAGTGACCATCAGACAGAACTGATTTAGTGGTTTGAGGAGCTCCAGTGGAAAGCAGGGCTGGACCCGAATAGCCGACTATTCGTTCGCTGTGCTGGAATTGGGATGTCTGTTACAAAAGGTTACGTAATCAAAATAGCAATGCTGTGGTGTCCATGGCTTCTAATGCAATACACAAACTTTGGCAACTGTTTGTGTGACAGAGATGATTACACATATAAAACACACAAGCAGCGTCAGAAATGTATCATCAGCTGTCTGCCCTGTTGCCTGAGTGTGTCGTCTACTTCACAAACGCTAAATAGTGGGTAAGTGGATGACCAATGACCAAGATCAGAGATGGAAAGTAAAGTAAAGTTGGTGGCTAATGGTGGTAAACAGACAAATGAAGACATTATGTTGTATAACAAGTTGCAATAGTCCATAAGCAGTGGAAAGGTGGCTGCAAACAGGCTTTTCCTGGCTTTAAAAGAAAAACAGGACTTGTCTAAAACACAACAGGAACTTATGTCAAAGTTTTTTAGATGTTGCTTTAAAGAACGACATTATCTCCAGAAAGATGCTGTCACATCTCAGTTTAGTTAAAACTGAGGATAACGCCAATTTTATACTTTTATACTTCGGTTCTACTGACAGAAAAGCAACAAAAATGTGTCATTTTCCTCCATTAACAGCAGGGAGGAACGTTGTCTCTGATCGAGTGCACTCTGATTGAGGAACTAGACGCCAATGATGAAGACTGTGAGTATCTTCCTACAATCTTTGTTTCTTTGTACCATCCTTCATTTTCCTGAGATGTGGCCACTGATTTGTTTTTTCACAGACAACGCAGCAGGTCAAGGCTTCAACCATCTGGAGTTTAAAATTGTGGTGGAGCCTCCTGATGGTCAGAGCTTCTCTGTCGTCCTCTTGGCTCCGTCCCGTCAGGAGAAAGCTGCCTGGACCAGCGACATCAGCCAGGTATCAGATCAAAGGTCCAGTGATGGATTTGAAATGAGTCCACCTTAGACCAGGTCTCATGCTTTCCTGCTTGTCTACTTTCTGTTTCAGTGCATCGATAACATCCGGTGTAATGGCCTGATGACCAGCGTGTTTGAGGAGAACTCCAAAGTTTCTGTCCCGCACATGATCAAGTATGAGAAGCATATTACTACACACATATTTCCTCTAATGCAGCTGTCTACAGGAAACTGTAGATTTGAGTCTTTACAGCCAAGTTTACCCAAAATGCATATGCGATGACTACTTTGAACTGAACGCTGTGTTTTTTTCATAAAGGTCTGACGCCAGGCTGCATAAAGACGACGTCGACATTTGCTTTAGCAAGACGCTTAATTCCTGCAAGGTCCCGCAGATCCGATACGCCAGCGTGGAGCGCCTGCTGGAGCGTCTGACCGACCTGCGCTTCCTCTCCATAGATTTCCTCAACACCTTCCTCCACACCTACAGGATCTTCACCACAGCAGCCGTGGTCATCGACAAGCTCGCTGACATCTACAAGAAGCCTTTCACCTCCATACCCGTCAGGTACACGTGTGTGTTTGTAACAGCACCAGCTTCAGACTTGTTCGTAATCTTCCATCCCCACCTGTGTGTCCCTTCACGTGGCTGCCTTCACTACATCTGTCTACCTTTCTGTTTCTACGTCCTCCTCTCATCCTGCCATATGCTCATCCAGGATCGAGCAGCATTCATGTGACCGTCTATCCATCATGTCCCTCTGTCCTGACTACAGTCTGAAGATAACACAGCTTGCACTGGACCAGTCTAAGTAAATACCATCACTGCTGATTCATTCCCACTAAAGCCTGGCTCAGACTACAGGAGACAGATTTTGAAGTCAAGTTGCATCATAACAACAAACTTCACAGATGTTCTTCTCTCTATTATCAGACATGCACATTTTGTAATATCTGAAAGTAACAGTTCATCACACACTACAGGACATTATAAAGATTATTGTGGCAGAGGAAGCAGTCAGAGAGCAGATCTCACGGGGAAACAGATGGAAAATACAGTCTGTCTATTGTTAAGCAAGAAGTAGATGTAAGATATTAACCAACAGTTTTAATATCAGTAGCTGACATTATTCTCAAGGACTAAAATGTTGAGTGTTGCTAAACAACAGTATCTGGTGCTCTGGGCAATAGTGTGATAATCCAAATTTACACTCCTAAATATCTAAATATAATATTTGATAACAGAGCACTGCGCTGGGATTGGGGTCCTGAGAGACCCACACAAATCTCACGGCAGCAGCTGGTCAAAAAAAAGAAACTAGAGGTCCCTGGATTTAACACAACCGGATCTTACTCCTTTAATTACAAAAAGCCACTGAATACTCCTATCCCACTTCTGTCTCTCTGACTGTGCACCTTAAACAGAGACTTGAGAAATTTTGACCTACATTCTTTTTAATCCACATCAAGATAAAAAGGTTTAGAAGAAAACAAATCTAAACAGGCAGTCTAGGATGGGGATAGATTTTTTTGTTTTTAATCAGTGCCACCGCATTGTTGTCCATTAAATCAATACATCAATCCACAATTATTACACCCCTCAAGCTCTCAGACCAAATTTCTCTTCTAATTGTCAGGAGCTATAAAATGGGGGTAAATGGTTCTGAATCTCCTGAAGTCTGAGTCCGGCCTGATTCTCCTCAGAGCGACACATCGACTCGTCTCCTTCCTTTCAGGTCTCTGGAGCTCTTCTTCGCCACCAACCAGGGCGTGTGGGGAACCGACCCGTTGAACAACAAATCACCGAGGCTGTGTCGCAAGTTCTCCTCCCCGCCTCCCCTCTCCATCCCCTCTCGCACCTCCTCCCCTGTCCACTGCCGCAAGCTCTCGCTCAGCTCTCCGATCGGTATGAAAGCAGGAGCTTTAGACCTCTCCACCACCCCTTCCTCCTCAGCAGCCAACTCCCCCACCTCCAGTCACAGCCCCTCCATCTCCTCTCCTCCTCCCGGCTCAACCAGGCCCCCCTCGGGCTTCTCCTCACCTCCGCCCACCGCCACGCGCTCTCCCAGCCTCCCCCAGGCCTCTGGGGTCTCCTCGCCGCCCCCCATCTCCACCAAGGCCCCGCTGGACCTGAGCCGCGGTCCCAGCTCTCCAGAGCTGAGTCCAGCTGCAGGGGAGGACGTCAGCGGAGAGCTGCCTCGCATCGACGCCTTCTGTGGGAAGCTGAGGCGCAGCATCCGCAGGGGTGAGTGGCTGCAACACAAAAGCATATGATTCACACTCTGTCAGTCCCATATGAACATCAGCACATGTGTGGGCACACGCCTGAGAGTCAGCTTACTGTTATGAAGTTAAAAACAGTGAACAGCTCTAACACTTCTACCATCTGCTGCAGAAATGGCTCTAATTTCTCCTCATAAGATTTATTTATTACTAATAATACACTCGACTGAGACGCATCTTTGATTGTGGCCTGCCAGCCCAAACAGACAGACAGAAATGGGTCACCATTACCCAACAGAGGAATAATCGTGCTCTTAGATCACCATCTGGCTCCAGCAGACAGCTTGTTCACCATAAAAACAGCGGCGGAGCACTAGGTCAGAAAATCACTGACAACAAACTGGAGAGGAAGAAAATGAAGAGACGAGCCTCTTGTATGGCAGCAGGAGTGTCGTCGAAGATGAAAATGACAGTGAACGGGTGAAATGGAGAGTCCTCCAGTAGCACCAAATATAGCAGCTTTTGACCTACAAGTTCAAAGAGACATGTGAACAACACACCGTCTGTATGCATGCTCATTTCAAGAGAGATTATTTTAATCCAGACGGAATTTCTGGATGAAATATTTATGATTAAAAATAAGATTTATATTCATAGTCCAGGGATGAAACATGACACAGATCTGACAGAACTGTAACACAAACACATGGGTTGGCCCAGATACAGACAAGTGATTAATAAAAGTTCAAACTAACCAGCATACCAACAAGTGTCCTAGTAAGGTGTTGGGCCACCATGTGCTGTCTGAACAGCTTCAGTGATCCTCGGCAAAG